ATACATTTTCTTCTCTCAGATTTTATAAATTTCATTTTTTTTAAATTTATATACACTGTTCAATACAAAATTATCCATTAACAGCATGAAATATTTGAGAATGCAGTTGAATTTTTGACTGAGAATAACAAAATGCAAATGTAGGGACACAGAATCAGAGCTGGGCAATCAAGAAAACTTATGGTTTACGTATATTATACTGATAATGCTTAATATCTATGTTTATTTTTGGATATTATAATATATTCAGATTTATATAAGGTAATAGTTACTAGCCCTATAAATGGTTATGGTCAATCATTTTAAAAATCATAAAAAGAAGCATGGTGAGACAGGTAAAAGGTAAAATGTCTTCGGAATTGCCGTCAAAATTTATCTCAACAATAGAAGTAATTAAACTTAAATCGTGTTATAAAAATCCTAAGTCATTAACAAAAATATCCTTCAACTTTCATTGCATATTTGAACATTATTTCATGAATTAAAAAAAAACAAACTGTAATTTATTTTCTGCAAAACGAACCAGAATTAAGCAGTTTGGGTATTTTTCGAAATTCGAGTGTATAAGACGTCATTTGAATTGCCATTTTGAGCTTATTAACACATTTCAAATTTAACGAATAAATTTTCCATTTAAAGTGATCAAATTAGTGTTCTATTGTCATTTTACATAGTTGTACTACGCTCAGTAAAATATTCACTAATCCTTTATCCTATATATATAAACGACATTAGGAATTAATCTAAAAAAAAATTCTCAACTCAACTCTTGAGAATTACTCAGCTGAGAATTTGAGAATAAAAGAGTTTAAGGAATTATATTTCTCTCAACTTTTTATGACGACCACTGAGTCTGAGAATTTTGGATTTGAGAAAATTCTCAGACTTGAGAGCATTCTCAAACTTAAGCATCTTTTATAACAGCGGACCCAGGACCAGACTACTAGAGCAGACGTACGCTCTACCCATTGCGCCATGCGGGCGACTGTTTGAGATGAAATATCTTTTAAAATCTTCTTCTCAAGAACAACATAGTACCAGAAAACGAACAAGGATCGAACTATAAAAAAAATCACAAACAATACAAATATTTGAAGAAGACATAAAACACAGACGTACCCTGGACATTCAAGTTTAGGGATCAGGTGCGTAATAGGAGTGAGCATCCCCTGTTAATCGGTCTCGCTCGCCGTGAGCCGTTTTAAACAGGTAGACAGAACTTTCAGTCGACAAATTCAGTATAAGACGCGCGAACAATTAATATGAAAAATTCAGCCAAAATACGACCCGTTATATTTGCTAACAAATATCATTATAATGAGCATAAATATTTTGGAATGACGATCGACTTTAAAAGAGGTTGTTGAAATCTCTGTAAAAGCGATATCTCAGTGAGTAGCATGTCTGGCTTGAAAAAAATTATCGTACTGGGAGCAAGTTCTTGAGCAACGAAGACAAAGCTGGGAGACCTGAACATCATATGCAACACTGAGCACAGGGGCTTGTCACGAAATATTTATCTTCTTTTAATAAAGTTACCCCTACTAGTGTATTTTCATAGTAGGGGTAACTTAATTAAAAGAAGATAAATATTTCGTGACAAGCCCCTGTGCACTGAGGTGATATCACACCATTAATAAGAAAAGTTGACTGTGGAAAAGCTGAAGTCATCTCCTTTGTCGCATAATTTAGTTTAGTTGTTAATTGGCCTTTGTCGCCTATAGTCAGTAAAAACATCTCAGTATGAGATAGACGTGGCAGATTCTAGGTGTTATTTATCTCACTGCGATTTATTGAGTCAACATATAAGTATATAAATGAAAATAACTATTGTAAGTTCACTAAAATGATAAAACTTCGTTGATATATCTGAAAGTCTAATTGAAGGCCACAAGAAGCTTATTCTCATGTAGAAGATTTTGAACAAATTCTGCTCCATAATAATACAAAAGGCCCAAGGGCCACACCGCTCACCTGAATAAACTTTGGCCATGCTGTTCTTTACCAGATTTCCCCTTGTAATATATATTGTGATCCCGCCCTACACCCAGGGGTCATGATTTGGAAAAATTTAGAATCTGCATTATTCCAGGATGCTTCCACATAAGTTTCAGCTTTTCTGGCCAAGTGATTCTTCAGAAGAAGATTTTAAAAGATGTTTCCTTTATTTTCAATGTAAAACTTGGATTTCCCATTGTGACCCTCCCTACCCCCGGGGTCATAATTTTAACAATTTAGAATCTATAGTACCCCAGGATGCTTCCACATAAGTTTCATCTTTTTTGGCCCTGTGGTTCTTGAGAAATTTTTTAATGACCCAGCCTTATTTTTGTCTTTTCTTGATTATCTACCTTGAAATGGAACTTGGTCCTTCCTTTCAACAATGTAATTTCCCCTACACCCATGGATGCTTTGTACCATGTTTGGTTAAAATTGACCGGGTGGTTCTTGAGAAGAAGTTGAAAATGTGAAAAGTTTAGAGACGGACGGACGGATGACAGATGGACTGACGACGGACGGACAACGGGTGATCAGTTAGGCACACTTGAGGTTTCAGCTCAGGTGAGCTAAAAAAAAAAACAACTCAGCTATGTTAGGAGCACAATTAGTGTCCATAGGACTTCCAACAGTTTGTTGAAAAACCGAAGACTACACATAAAATTTTTAACGCTGTCAATGAGGAACTTAAGCTTCCTTTTGATATCAACTGAGTATTTGTGTGTAGAGTAAATGGTTTTAACGAAGTTATTTTGCTGGTGACCAATCACAAGATGTGAGGATTTCCAAATTCCGTTTTTTTTTAAGCAGTTGGCTATGATAATAAAAAGTTTAGATTTGGTTTTAATTGGTCTCGAGGAATGTTGAATAAAGTGTAGAAAAGTCGTAAGTTTTGATGTTACCGAAATTTGACAAAATTTGTGATTTTAAAAGTTTCTAAAATTTCTTGAAAGTTAATCAGGATTCACATCCGATTTACACAACTTCTAGAATATGCTGTAGCACAATATGTGTGATGTTGCTCCTTTTCAGCAGTTCAATTTTTTAAAAGAAGTAAACAGAAGTAAAGATAAGAGCTTGATAGAGCATTTACTGGAACCAGGAATGTATCTTTGTTTGTAAGGATTCTGACTTCAGTATAGATGGGGCAGCTCGAACTCACATTTGTTGACTGGAACATTAAAAGTATAAAACACTGAAGTGTTATTCTTAAGAATTTCTTACTCGGAAAGTAAACTGTGAGTGTGTGTTTGATTTCAAGACGTAGAATGAAAACAGTTCTCGTATAGTCCTCGGGGATAGGATGGGGTCACGATAGGGAATAAGTTTTACATTAGATTATACAAGAAAAATCTCTAAAATCTTCTCAAGAACTGGTAGAACAGAAAAATCTAAAAGTAAAAGAAGTGTAGATTGCTGAATTTTTAGATCATGGTCCCCAGGGTAGTGTGAGGCCGCAAAGGGAATAACATTTATTTGGAAAAGCTCTTTCAAACTCCTCTACTCAAGAACAACAAAGATATTATGAATCATATTAATGTGAAGGCATCCTGCTGTAGTGTAGATTCCCTTCTTCTCAAATCACGGCCTGCTCATTCACGGTAGCTCAGTAGAGCGCTCTGTGATCGGGAGGTCGCGAGTTCGAATCTCGGACACTACTGACTTAAATCGATAAAAAAAAAATGGGTTGCAAATGTTCTTTAAATCACAATGCGCTCGGCACTTGAGTGAAAGTTGCGCGTCCTTCGGATGAAACCTTAAAAACCGAGGTCCCGTGTCACGGTAGGCGTTGGCACGATAAAGATCCCTCACTACTCATGGCATTGGTGGCCGAGAAAATGTCAAAATTTGACGCCCTTCACCGGTATATGTTGATGTCTCTACATGAGTGATTCTCGAATGGGACGGAAAACAACAAAATCAATCAACCAAATCATGGCCCCTGTACACGTAGAGAGGGGCCACAAACAAGAGGCCCATAAGCCACAATGCTCACCTCAGCAACTTTGGTCCTGCTGTTCTCCACCAGAAATTCACCCTTGTGGTCCCCATCATATCCCTTAAGGGGGGAGGTGGGCATGATTTCAACAATTTAGAATCTACACTACCCCTGGACGCTTCCATATAAATTTCATCTTTTTCTAGCTTAGCGACTCTTGAGAAGATTTTTCCTATGTATTTCAATGTAAAACTTTGATTCCCTGTTGGGGCCCAACCCTTTCCGCTGGGGGCCATGATTTCAACAATTTACATGTAGAATCTACACTACCCCAGGATGCTTTGACATTAATTTTCATCTTTCTGGCTCATTTGTTCTTGAGAAAAAGATTTTTTAAAGTTTTTTTTTCCATTATATATCAATGTAAAAACTTTGATTCCCTGTTTTAGGGGACATCCAAGAATAAGAATTCAAAACTTAAAGCTGAACATGACTCGTAAATAGGCATACGCCATTTTCGATAGCATTATCTACAATACATCAATACTAGGATATACTCATCGCATTCGTTACACCTGACTGTCTTTTGTCACAGGTATCGGCGTGGATATGTTCGTGCTCATTACCTTTGTTTATATTTTATTGCAGTTACGTTTATCTGTGTTGTTTGTATACTGCACTGACTTATACAACTATAATTGTAAATTTATTTGGTATCTTATTTTCCTGCATTAGACGAAGTATAACGTTATTATTCTCGCTACCGAGTTTTGAATACCATACGTCCGTCTACAACGGTGTCGACCGATTACACTGAACAGTGACTAAGTTTTGCCCTATTTATAGGGGTCTGCAGAGTAGCGAGACTTGAGAACAAAAATGGCGGACAGATTCCTTTTACGAATCGTGTTCAGCTTTAATTGCTTCATCAACATAACAGGGTATTTGAGCAATCAAAGCTCGACAAAACAAAGTTCCACTGTATGTATTGAAAATTTAGGACAAAATTAATTTTATATACATACAGATATTTAATCCAAGAATTCACCACCATGAAAAATAATTTTTATTGGCTGAATATACTTTTATGCTACCCATTGACTAGATTGCACATAACTATGTGGATTATACATAAAAAAAAAACACTAGCACTATAGCTATATTTGTTCATACTTTATATAAATCTACAGTAGATTAGAACACTGTATATGTCCATAAAAATGTGCCATTTCAGCTTTACAAAAATTTTTGAAGAACCTTTCTATATTTCACCATTTCAAGTAAATCAAAATTAATATACTTTTTGCTACATGTATATATATAATCACCACAATATCACTGGAATGTATACCTTTTACAGAAATTCATCTAACAAATACACAAATGTTCACAAACAGCAGGTCACATATATATAGTATCTGATAACACTGTCACATTTCAATAATTCAGAGTTCCGAATAAATACAATATCTACCCTCTCCATGCTGCGGTGCACAATCCTCATCTCATATCTTCAGCTGAGAACATACCCTAAAAGAAAAATAACTTTTCAATTAAAGATTAATTAATCAATGATTAATTTTCAGCATTTCAACAATTTTAAATATGACAATTCATTCAATTTACAAAATTTGCTAACCTTCAAGGAGAAGAGAACATTTTATAATCAAATACTGTAACAGTTGAACTTCAGTGTCTCAAACATTGCTATCTTGAATACCATGGTTATATCAAAATTTAAGGTCATTCCAACCACTTTATATAAGTATTTTGACCTCATTATCACAAATTCTCAAATATCTCAAAGGATTTCTCAACCCCATCAAATTTGGATTAAAAAAATTTACTGATCAGACAAAACGTTTGAAATATTGAGTATTTAAGACCTTGGCTCTCCTTAGAATGGAATCTTTACTGGAATCGTAGGGTGAATCTTTGCTGGGGATTTCTAACACTGCTGGGACTGGCTGGTCATGTGAGTCAATAACATAACGGATTTCTTCTGCAATCTAAAAAGAAAAGGATTTGAAATTACAAACTTACTTCTTTCCACAGAGTTATAATAACATAGAATCACATTTTTTGTTCAATTTGTAGGTAGAACATATCAGTGTTTGAAATAAACATGCACCGGACCGCCCGAGACGCACAAATTTTGTCACGGACGAACAGATTTGCAAGTATTGACACACGGCTGGATGTATACCTCTGGTAAAAAATTTTCATAAATTAATATTCAGATATTTGATAAAACTCTTTCAAATCAACTGTATTCTGGTAGATAAATCTTAAAAAGACATGATCAATAAAATTTATAACAATATGGCATATACATGTAGTAGCAATTGCTAAAACAATTTTTTAAATGTCAATTATTTTTTGCGTCAAATTACATTTTAGGAATGATTGCTTTTTGTAGAGAATGATGTCTGTAATTTATAACCGAATGAGTTTCACACACTGAAATGTGACTGATTAGAGGATTGGTAAAATTGTAGTCTTTTAACAATGTTTCATTACACTTACGGAAAATTTGTGACACCTACAAATTGCGTAAATTAATACGTATATATTATACGACGATTTTAATACATTTATTTTGTGTCTTGATATAATGTTGAATTATAAACTATTTTAAGAAAACATATATTATTTTATTTCTGTCTTAACAATAAATTAACAAATTAATCAGTATTGAATCATATAAGCTTTTAAATTAATGTAGAATTCATCAATATCGTTGACTAAAAATTTACAAAAACAATAATACAGGTACGTATTGCCAAATGTCTATAAACAAGTTGTTTGCAAAAAATATTTTGTAGTTTATCAAGAACACTAACTAATTAATTCATTTAAAGTTTACAAAAAAAGTAATCCACGTTAAGTTTCAAAATTTTAAAATCCTCAAAAATTTTTTTTTTATAAGCTGTTAGTTCCATTTTGTCTAGCAAAAAAGGACAGATGATACAAAAGAACTTTTTCATAAAAAATGAAAATAAAAATTTGAGTAATGTTCATGAGTAAAATGAAATAAGGGCGTAAATGCATAACACATTCAATACATACAAAGTCAACAACAATGGGATTTGAAGTGACAAATATTCGTATAGATAAATAAGGGTGTTGCAGAAAGGTAGAATTTTGAACATCATAGAAGTTTTACAAATTCTTATACGTTATAAACTTGTTATTTGCATCATTTGCAACAAAAATAAACCTAGAAACATGTACCAATCCAGGTATCTATGTTTTGTTTATATCATCTGTCTTTAATAATTTCAACTCTTGTGGAAACTATACATTTGTGAATAACACGCTTTACATAATGAACTTTATTGTCCCATCGTCAAAAGATGCTTAAAAGTTTTGTTAGTTCGAAAGTGCTTTTTCAATATCAATATATTTCTCAGCTTTGTACAAGCCGCCATTTTTCATGAACAATTACTTTCATTTTAAATTTCTTGATAGGTCAATACGTGTATGATTTGACACCTGCATTTATTGTAAACCATATTCACTGAGCCCGAAATATAGTGAATATGTATTCGGTGAATCAGTTTATTGTCCCTCCCCTACCTTTCAAATAATTCAATGGTAGATATTTACCCCGTGTTGCACGTTGTTTTCAATTAATTTAAAGTTTTTATGATAAATTTCAACAAAAACACATTGTTACAGGAAATATTTCTTACGGATATCAGAAATAATTCCTTATAGACCTTGACCTTTTTCAATAATTCCTTTTGTATTGACCTGGAAGGTCATGTGATTCATTATATTGACCTGCAATAATTCCTTGTATTGACCCGGAAGATCATGTGCAGGTCAATATAATGTAGTATTTTTCTAACATTGTTGGATCTCATCCAATCAGAGAGAGGGAAATTATTCAATCATATAATAAAACATAAAAGAAATTGACAATTCTCCAGTTACTTCTAAGTTCATTGCTGGTAATTCTAACGTGTGCGCTGCATATGGTATGGTTGGTCGAATCCTTAGGGTACTTTTCCCCTTTCTCGGCATATTCATAACCGGTGTCAATACCTACAGAAAGAATGATAGGTTTAAGATTAAACAAATTATAAAGTCTTTACGTAAAAAAGGAATGCACAATTGGATGTTCTTTCTTTAAAATAGCTGTTAACTGTTTGCATGATAATTTGCATAAACGTAGAATATGCATAAAATCATTACACAAGCCAATCGATTGATCATCGTCATGAAACCTAGCTGCACAACTGTAGCTCTCTGCTTGAGAAAATTAGGACAGATAAAGCAGAGAGCTACAGATCCAAGTGTTGTAAAAACCTTAGATTAACGCCAACAATTTTTTGTTGCTCACTACGGGTATTTTTTCTTGTATTTTACACTTCCCCCAGCTTTCAAATTAATTTTAAATGCTATTTAATAAATAATCATACGTAAAACTTCAATTCCTGATAATTTACTTACCTCTAAACACTAACAAATGGCTGTTTGTGGTTATGGGCGTCAAAAAGGAAATCCTTAAAACCAACATTACAAAACTAAATACAGGACTCTTTCGGACCGTTAAAAGGTAAATAAAGTATCAAATATAAGAGTTAACAATATGAAATTATCGATTTCAAATCCTGCTTTTGACAGAAATCACTTCACTTTCTTTCAAAATTCTTAACATATTTCAATAAGCTGCGGTAAAAGATTGAATTTGTAGAATATACTTTATTGTGAGTGAGAAAGCTTACAGCACGAAATAAATAAATTAGGAATCATATATTTCTTGGCTGCATGACTCTTGTTTCCGAAATTCATCCAATGAATTGTTTATTATACCGGCAATAAAAATGTAAAAATGCTTTTACAACACTTGATCAAAGCTCTATAGCTATATATTTAGTCAAAGCGTGCCCTAATTATCTTTATGATGGGAAAAAATACTGCCCCCAAATAAAAATTCACTGTAGTCAAAGCGTCCCGTGATTTTAGTCAAAGCGTCCCCTGATTTTAGTCAAAGCGCCCCCTAACATATTTTTATAGAAAAAATACCGCCCCAAAATATTGGTCAAAGCGTCCCCTGATTTTAATCAAAACGTCCCCTGATTTTGTTCCCTAACAATTACATATTTTTACAGGAAAAAATATGTTTATAAAACAAATTCATATATTTTTACAAAAAAAAACATTCGAGTCCATCCCATCTATTTTGGTCAAAGCGTGAATTAACTGCCAAACAATGATAATATTATAAATACAAAACAGTTTTATTCCGTAACATGTTTGTAAAAATATTAGGGGGCGCCTTGACCAAAATCAGGGGACGCTTTGACCAAAATCAGGGGACGCTTTGACCAAAATCGCTTGGACGTTTTGACTTCCCAGACGATTTTTCTAAAAAAAAAAAAATTGGGGCGCTCCCGACAAAATAAAACAACATAAAAAAATTATTATAAGGGGCGCTTTGACCAAAATCAGCTTTTAACCAATATTTTGGGTGGTCTTGTAACATCACATTTTACTGTAAAATTCTATAACATAGAAAAAAATTAATTTAATTGACCGAAATCAAGGGGCGCTTTCACCAAAATCAGACTTTCACCAATATATGGGGGCTTTATAACATCATTTTACTGTAAAATGCGCTGGACCTGAACCTGTGATGTTGAATTGATGATTTAGTGTAAAGACTTGCTTGAAATGTGTATTTTCCATTGTCTCCTACAGTATAATCATAGTGTAAATTAAACAGAGTATTTTACAGAAAGTCACTAGAAATTCCAGTGTAGTCAAGATGCATTGACCATTTTGACAGTTTGTATTATTCTTCCATGTCACCTTGTTATTCGTTTTTTTAAAAACCTAAGTCATAAATTGTGGCATGTAACTGATTTTACGATTCTGAACAACAACCATTTACCTCGTCTCCAATAACAGCTATTAATTTTCCTTTCACCGCTGAGTGCGACATCTTGTCCAACATCAAGTCATGTGACAATGATAAGGTGAGACTAAAATCGGGGAAAGACAATAAAAACCTTGAAAGGACTTAAATATTTTACTTTTAACTTTAGCAATTTTTTTTTTGTTTTTAGACATAAAATAAATATATTAGATGATTATATGCTATAAATATATTTATTTTAAAAAATGACTTTAGTTAAATCTATTATACATGAAATTCATATCCGGAACTACAAGCAAAATGTCAACCGTTTTGGGTTCTACATTTACAAAAGTTTATAACTTGAAAATTATATCTGAGTAAAACACAATTATTTACAAATAAATTGAGGTAAGTGATATTTTTTCACCTTTGGACACAATCTGAAAATCAAGGTCAGAACATTATAAGTAAGAGAGAAATATTTTAATTCAAGGACTTTTGACATTCGGTTCTCATGGGGACTAGTTTTAACGCCTGCCTGTGTTAATTTCCGCTAAAAAAAATATTGACAGGGGGAAAGCCCATTCGAGGTAAACTTTGAAATATTGTAGATAGTTCGTCAGTATTTAAGATATTTATATACAAGCTGATTTGTTAACAATAAAATTACGAGTAGATATATGAAAAAAGTTAATCTTTCTCTCTTGTGTAACACGTCATGCTAAAAGACAAATGTCAGCTGTCAGTGTTGTGATTTGAATGATATCCTTATAAACTTTTAGTAGCGTCAAACACCTTAGAAATTGGAAATATGATTAACTTTGCTGAAAAGTATCTGTTACTTGTCTAACAGTATGTATTGAAATATATATATGATTCTTTTAATCAGCCAGTAAATAACTATAATTGTTATATGTGCATGAGTTTGTTATGACTTCACCAGAGCTTGATATGAAGTAGACAGTTTTAAATGTGTACAATTATCATTTTGCACTTCAAATTTTCATTTCAGATAAGCAGAAATGTGGCAGTAAAACAGAACATATTGTATACATACACTTTCGAAAAACTTAAAGGAGTGCCGCAATGACTCTTATAGAAGGATTTGGTGATGAAGTAACAATTTTTCTGGCAATTATTTTGATACTATTTATAGTGTGTTTAGCATGGATTTCAACAAACATAAGAGATATTCCATTTTTCAGTGTGATAATTATTGAATTGACACATAGACGAAATAGAGATACAGAGCATGTCAATCAAGCCGAGGGTCAAAGTTCATCAGAGGTCACACCATCTAATTCAGATAACCAAGCCAATTTAGAGAACAATGCCCAAGAACCAGAGACATTAAGTAATGAGAATGGCCCTATTGAAAATAGTGAAGTGTCGGTTGAAAGTAGTCAAAATATTCAGAGTAGTGAAACAGTGCAAGAGGGAGGAACAAATGAAAAGTCAGAAAGTTCTGAGAGACAAGTTCCACAGCAGGAAAGCCAAACAGAGAATATAGAACCTCCTAAGCAATTAAATGAAACAGAACTTCGTCAGAGACGATTACACTTCTTTCAAGGAAGTAAGGACAAGACTACCATATCAAATCCCCAATCTTCAATTGAACCTCCAAATCCTACATCTAGTCCACAAGAAATTCCTCCAAATCCTATTTCTAGTTCACAAGAAATGCCACCTAAAATCTCTGCCCCAGAGCTTACTGTCAAACAACCGGAAACAATAGCAGATAATAGTCGACCAAATCCGTCTGAGAATGAGACTGTGCAGTCCACAGAAACTGATTCAGAGACAGGGCTTATCACGGTGAGACTGAAGTATTTGAATGATACCCAAAGAAATGTTACAGCAGCACCAAATGTGACCATAGGACAATTCAGAAGGTCAGTCAGAGTGGTGGAAATATATATGGTAGTTTCTTACTCCACACTTTTCACATAAACATGATAAAACCAACCATATTATGTAACCAGTCCCTGTGTGTTGAATTTAAAACTGAGGAATAATCCTTATGTATGTACATGTTTCTGTTACAGAGACAATTTTGCCACAGAACTCTCTGAGAACAAACTGGTGCGATTCATCTTCAACGGACAAGATCTACGCAATGATGCCAACACCCTGCAAAATTACAACATCGGAAACAACAGCGTAGTTCACTGCCTGATCACTCAAGTTAATCAACAGACCCCTCAGCAGCGATCGGAGAATCAAGGAA